TATGTTGGGCAGTTGGGACTTGGGAGCAGCTTGGGAGTGGCTAATTTTGAATATTTACTTAATTAATTCATCTATAAATAGCGTTGATGCTTCAGGGGTGGTAGTTCATTTACACCCAGTTTTGCGGCAGGCGGTATTTCCTACGTACCGCCTGCCATGCAGGCTACAATATAGGAGAAAAGCGTGGATTCAATTCTGTATAAGCGCAAAGCATTAAACCATCGTCGCGACGATGTGACTAGAATATATTCTCACTTCATTTTGCCGAAGACGCGTATGAACAAGGACAGTCACCAAAGTTTTTAACGAATACAGTGCAATGAAACGTTTAGAATACAATTGAAAAGGGAAGCGTTGCCAAGTAATAACTTTACTTACAGTACATACTAGCTTCAATTGCGGTATACTATTTCTACAGTGGATTGACATAAAAAGACACAAAACAGCGCACGCGTGCACCTAATATACAATATTAAACGGCATGGTTGAAAATAAAAGAAATCCATTAAATAAATGATTATAAGTAAACCACAAACCAAAGGTCCAAGACGCATGTAGAGGTCATATATTTATACCTATCCCAAAATTAAAATATTGCTTGTTTTTCTCCTACTTCTGGTTCATATTGGTATGATAACACTTCTCCTACTTGGTTCTCGTGAATATTTTCCATTAAAATGACTCAAAAGCATTAATTTTTTGAGAAAACGTATTAAATCTCGATACACGCTATACAAAAATATATAGTGTTGTTTTGATTCTATCCTGCCATCTACGTCATACGGGTCATATTACCCAAAAAATAATTTTTCGCAAATACGAGCCAAGATGGCCGACGTCGACGATATATAAATTAACAGTGAAATAACATGCATATAACTCCTGAACAAAAATGTTTGACACGGTATTAATATAATATTTATAGTTAGATGAAGCAACACTTTTAATATAGACAATAAAAATGCCAACTGTTGCCATTGTCCTTTAAGACCCCTTACATTATTTCATTCTTATATTTAGTCAGTTCGAATTATTATATTGAACAATGATAAAAGTATATATAACATAAAACATTAAAAAATTAACATGCATATTAACTTAATTATATATATTCGAAGTAGAAGATACTATATATGCATATTTACAGTGAGAAGGTGATAATATATTTTAAACTATTATACATCAATCATTGAGCTAATGAGTAATGGACATAATCGTAATTTACTAATTTAACGACAAAATTAAGATTTAAGAATAGATATTTTTTATTTTATAGATTATTTTATAAGTTCAAATATAGTAAAATATTAAGCCTACACATGCCATTTTTGTAGTTTCTCGCCTGACTCCAATTAAAAGTTGTAAGCATATATAGCATTGCAATCTAACCAAATGAATAACTAACAATTAATATAATTAACAACTTTGATGTGCTTTATCACACTTGCACAACCTTGTTTTTTAGCGGATTTCTCACATAGTTAAAAATGGATTTAAGATCATGCACCTTGTACTATAACTTTACAAGTCCCTCCAAAACGCTGGAAATGCCATTTCAGTGTACCAAATAAAAAAAAATTCGGGTAGCATACCTCCAGATCTTCCTAATTTGGAGTCCTGTGCTCAACTCCAGAGTGATACTTTTGGGGTCGTTTTGAATTTACAGTGATATAATAAGGGAGAAAGATTCCGTAAATAGCAGGGAAAGCAGGGCTGATTAGTTGAAGGAATCAGATATATTGTGACATACATCACTTCTGAGACATCTCAAACAGGAAATCTCTGCGTGCATCCTGCGACAACACTGCGCATGCGGATAGGTTTTCACCTAAAAGCAAGTTGTCCATTCTACAATCGTGGAAAATGATGTGAACGGTCTGGTCTGTACCAGTGTAGGTAGTGCTAATAATAACAAGCTTTCGTTGGTAGGATGCAACTACCTGGTAACAAAATTCTCATTTGCCTCTGTGAGGGTTTTAAATCTTAACTAGAATATCCCCAGCTCGCCCTAAACAATGCTGTCCGATTGCGTTTAAAAATGTGTGGAAAATAATAGCAACATTGGATTGGAGAGAAAGGGCTAAACCCACTGAAGTTAGTTGAATGTCTTTTCTTAAAATGTTGGTCTATTGTAAATTTAGTGTGCAAAACGCGTAAGGTTGTAAAATATAAATTGCTGATTCAGCACAACGTGTGACGTCATTAGTTGGGTAAGTATGTTATTGCATAGTAAACTAAAGCATAGCTAAGTTATTATTGGCTCAAATCAAATTAGATTTTGCATACCAATAGTACATGATGAGACGCACGGGAAAATACTTCTAATTTTGTTGTCAAGGCAACATAGTCGCTCCCAGGCCCCTTACACTGATCTTGAATAACTAGTTGCATTTATCTATGTGTATGTCATTTTCGAATTATTATCATGCAAGTAAACTTTTGGCATGCATAGTTTGGCACACATACTTCTGATATTATTTTAACCTTATCAGTACCATGAACAAAGCTGTTTCATAAAATTGGCGCAAGGGGCCTGGGAACGACATTGTTACCTTGGAAACAAAATTGGAAGCGTTTTTCAATGCGACTCATCATGTACAATCAGTATGCAAAATTTCATTTGATTTGGGCCCATAATAACTGAGCTATAGACCAATTGCGAAACTTAGTGACCGAGCCTTAAACTGCACGAAAACGAGGCTTATTATGCAAAAACAAATCATTCTGCTATATTTTTATATGGCGAAAGATGAATTTCAGTGTTTGAGACGCGTTTTTATGGTAATCTCTTCATTTTTTTTCAATATTTTTGTTTTGACTATGTAAATCTTT